TATCACAATTTCTGTTAGTTAACTTGACAGAAAGTCAATGTTATTACTCATGTGATGCCTACTAAAGAAGTGCCATATGGTCAAAAGAAGGAGGAGAAATTCTTGCCCATTCAAGAACAAAGTGCTTCAAAAAAAGAAGAATTTCACAAGAAGTTTGGTTTTTTTTCAAACATTATTTATTTAAATGCTTGTATTTTTTAAAAAATTTTCCCACTTTTTTTGGCTATGTAATGCTTAGTTGACAGCTTACATGGCAGCGCATAAGTAATAACATTGACTTCCATCAATTTAATTAACATAATGCATAAATAAATAAACGAAATTGATATAATTTTAAAAGTTAATAGGTGATTTTAAAAAAATAAAAATAAAAATTTTAGACTAAAATAGAAAATAAATGAGTTATTAAATTGAGTTGATATTGATATTATATATACATATATATATGTATATATAAGAACATTAGAACTGTTGTTCAGCCTCAGGGTAGAGTTTCATTCTAATTTTCTTGGTCTTGTAAAAACATGCATGTGATCTTCTCCAATAACAATTTTCTTGTTTGGCCTTGGAGAAAAGCAACAAAATAGAAGACATATCCTATGGAGAGAGAGCATGGAAATGAATTTACCAACGATAACTTGAAAACAAAAGAGAGGCAGTCAGATGAACAGACATGGTTTTGGTTGAGCAAAACAGGAGCTGAAGTGCACCAAAGTTAGCTGCTGTTCATGAACCATCGTTTTCATTTGTCACATGAAAGAGACATCTCACCTAAATTTAACGCATTAGCAGTTTGTCTCATATGCTTCAGCATAGCCAGCCTAGCTCTCAGATCAATAGTCCAGCGCCTGGACCTCCAGCACACCCTGTATATAATTCCCTGAGGAACAGGGAAAACATGCGCTTGGTACAGTTGTGTATTTATTTATCTGCTGAAATTGCAACCTTTTGATACAATAATCCAAGCAAATTTTTCCGGTACAAACATTTGCTCACTCTGACCCAAAGAAAAAAAAAAAACCCCCACAAAAATAATGACGGTACCTATAAGAGTTCACAGCCAAAAAAATCCCAGTTCTCATAAATCTTTGACTTGCCTCAAAAATGAAACCAGAATAAAGAATTATTCATCTATTTTATAGCATAGGAACGGGTGCAAACTGTGTCGAGTGCCTCGGTAAATAAGACAGAGAAACTTGTTAATGCTTGGAAAACCCCTGGCAAGCCTGTTTGGAGATTATTCAGTGTCATTGCTCTTGTCACCTCAACTGCCTTGGAATGCCTCAGCATTTCGTCTTCCACCCGCCTTTGGCAGGCTGCAAGCTCTAATTTCTTATCTGCAAGAGGGTCCCGAGCATCTAGAACCTGTCCATTATCAGGCCCGGCATCGGGAACGCCAATACCTACCATAGAGTATGAGTGGTAGTATTTCCTTTCTATGCTCCGAAGGGATGAAGCTTTCTTCTCAAGCTCCTTTGATACAGTTTCAGTTCGCTTTTTAATCTTGAGCTCCTCTTTTTGCTTAACGGATATCACATGGACAACATTGATAAAGCTCTTGATTGCTTCTGAAGCAACTGTATCAGGAACTCGGTCAAGAGCAAGCTTCCACTCATCAAAAAAAGCAAATACAGTAGAGAGTTCCCTGCTGCCATCAACATTGTCGTTGCTTACAGGGATAAGGGTGAGCTTGAACCAGCCATGGAGGGAACGAATAAAGTCCCTTTGAAATTTTATCAGACGGCAGAAACTAGAATGCCAGGCGGAGACAGCAGACTCCAGATCACGGGTTGCCAGCCTATGCAGTTCAGAAGTAGAGTCACCTTTTGCAGATCTGTTTACAAGGCCACTTACTTGTTGCACAATGTGGTTCTGAACTTCATGGTACTGGTGCATTGACTTCCACATGTACATGAAGCTGCACTCAATAAAATGAAATGTGTACGTAAGGATAAGTTAAATAATTCTACCACAACTGTTTCAGTATCGAGATATCACAAGTTGCTCTACAATGATATGTTGAAATTCAGATTGCCAAGAAAGGAAAGTGGTGCAAATAGAAAGTGTCATAAAACCCAATCATGATTATAAAGCCAAACTTTTACAAATGTCACTTCAATTATCATGTATAGCATCCCTTATCTGCCAATCACTTGTGCGAGCAAATATGTTTCACTGGCACCACAACATGATCTGTTGAAACACTCAATAATAGAGAGGTCCAGCTCCCAACAGCCTCTGAGCAAACTATGATTCCTACCTGTTTGGCAGTAATGTTTTAGCTATAACCCCCACCCACCACCACCACAAACTGAGTCACTGGCAACAGGGAAGCTATCGACGGCTACGAGTTAGCACTATAGATTTCCCAACTATTTTATACCCTAATCAATGGTTTGAAATGAAGATGATAATAAGTTGATAAAAAAACCATTGACTACAATTATGAGGTCAAGATATTCAGACTCACTAGTCTAGCTCATCCAGGTCCATTAATCTTGAAAAGAGAATGGTAGGTCCTAAGATAGTTAACTCTAATTTACCTAACTCCAAACCTACCAATCCGTGGAGCAGAAAGGATCAATGGATTAAAAGAAATACAGTCATGAGGCTAGTGCAATACTGGGGCCTGTCTGTGATTTTAAAAATATATACAAAAGCAATGGGACAATACAGTGGAATTCAAGACACAAGTGCTTACCGAGTCAATGAATCAAGTGGCATACTAGAGCAGTAACTCATAATGATTCACCTACCAAATCAGCACGTTTTACATAAGATAAAAAATCAGGACAAGATTCACCTCCCAACAATAACTCAAAAGTCATTAACAGTTTAACACAAGTTCTCGCGTGCTAATCACCACTGGTGACATAAGATTCAATTTTACCATCATCAATCCAATCACAGCTCACATTAAACACTCATTGTTGAGAAGAGAAGAGGGATGGATGCTGAAGGGAGGGATGACCATCAAAGCTATTGCATCCAAGGATTCATTTGCATTAGAGGGACTGAACCTTGTTAGGGATATAACTGAACCAGAAAGCCACCTCACTATATATCAGGCATGGTGTATGTCATTTTGTATTTATGGATGTTCATTCAACAATTAATTGAGTGAGTTCTCATCTTAACTAAAAAGGAAGAAGCAGAAGAAACATACCCATGACAGAGATCCACAAGCTGAGGAACAAGATCACTGTCTCTAAGACCAATGATTGAAGTTGAGGTAGTGAAGACAGCCTGAGAATTGACATTAATCAGTGAATGCAGTCTTGTTATAGAGGCCTTCGTCTTATCTAGCTTGGTTTCGTCTGCCCCCTTGTGCTCTTGACTCTGCAATGCCGACAGCTTCTTGTCGTGCTCAATCTTTGCACCCTCTCTAGCCTAAAATCATCAACAATCCGTCACCACCACATCGACACAAACAATTTCAAACTTTAAACCAAATGTTCCATGCCATAAACCAAATGCAACAAAATGCTCCCTTTCCTTGTCTAGATAGAACATACAAGCCCACAGTACATTTAATTTAATTTAATTTAAAAATGGAATAAAATAAAATTGAAATTGAAATTACTACCTTCACTTCCTCATAGAGTTTCTTCTCCCAAGCCAATAGCCGGTCCAGAGTGGAGCAGAGGCTCTTTGGACCGCCTGGTTCATCCATAGCCGCCGTGTCCAGTCTATACCTCACCGCCAACGGTGGCTTCGACGTCCAGCTCGAGCTCAAGTTACTCAAGACACTGCTCGAATGATACACAGTTTCTGTAATCCCAAAGATAGAATCAGATTAATTGATAATTCATAAAGTTCAAACAATTTGAACTAAATTTTGAATTCTAGGGGAAATTCTGCAACAAAACCCTAATCTATCAACTTACTTTTCAATTGCCGGAAGCTCCGGTCTAACTGAGCTCGGCCGATCTCCAGCATCTCGGAGACCTGATCTCCGGCGGCAGCAGCCTTGTCGAAATTCTCTTTGATCGCGTCCACAATCTCTTTCAAGTCCTTGTGCCTCACCATCATCTGCCTATCCATCACCTCACTGATTCTGTAACTACCTCCCGATGATCCGGCCTCCTGGGACTTCTCCGATTTGCTAGCGGCGTGGCCATACATCTGCTGCTGCGGTTGATTGTGGAGATTATGGAAGTCACTATGTTGCTTCTCTGATTCCGCTCCCACTGGAGCTCCGAAATTTGACCGGCTCTCGATCTCCGATCTGGATTCGAAATCATCCTCCCTTTCCTCATCATCCGATGAAGTTGAGGTACTGTAGCGGTCGTGGTCCCCCCACTCGCTGCATTGTACTTCCTCTCTCTCCGCTTCCTCGTCGATATTGCTCTTCGCATCCTTGCTATTTAGATGGTATCGGTTGAACTGTTGTGGCCGGAAGAAATCGTACTCTGATCTTTCTGTTTCCGTATCTTCTCCGGCGTACCGTGCGTTGTTGTTGTTGTTGTTGTTGTCGTCGTCAAGCTGGTGATGGTATTGTTGTTTCTGTTGTGCTTTCCGATCAAAGTACTCTGAACTTGGTGGGGAGGGAGGGTAGAAATTCTCCCAGTTCCAGACGGAGGAAGTTTGAGAGGAAGTGTTGGAGTAGGTGGAATTGGCTTGATAAGCAGTAGGAAAGAAATTGTTATAGAAATCCGATTTAGTACTCTTTGGAGAGGAGGAAGGACTCGACTCGGACAGAATGTGAGGGAGTTTCGGGGCCAATTTACGGGGACGACGACGGTTAGGGGCGGAAGAAGGTAGACTGGAGGCGGAGAGTATTTGAGGAAGCTTGGAGCTGGCGACAGTGGGGGAGGGCGACGGAGAGGGAGCGAAATGGGGAGGAGGAGGAGGGGGGTGGAGGGACGGCGAAGGGGACGGGGGGACACGCGGGGGGACAGGATGGACGTGAGAAGGATGTGAGTTGGGAGGATGAAGTAGGACGGCCGGGGTTTGGTCGGAGACGGAGAAGGGTTCCCCAGCAGCGAAGCAGGAAAGGGCAGAGCCCGTGACCCGGAGGGAGCGGCAATAATCGGCGTGCGCAGCCGCCAAGAGGTGACGTGCATGGACCGCTTCCTTCATCAGGCGACGCCGCTCCTTGCACCGCCTCACCGTGTCCTCGTTGTCCAGCTTCGACGCCGTACAACCCATTTCAAAAAAATCGAAAACAAAGAGGGAGACCCCTTGACCTCCAATAACAAAAGCCTAATAGAAAATATTTGAAGGCACAGAGGTGGCGCTGTGGCGCCGGATTTTTTCTGCTGAACAAGAAGTGACCGAGCGTGTGTGTGTGACACAGGTTATATTGGGCTCTCTGAGGCTTAATTCAAAAATTAGTCTATTAACTTTTAATTTATTTCATTTTAATTTAAAAAATATGTTTTATTTTTAAGTAATTTAGAAACTTTGAAAAATATTTTAGAATGATTTATTGTAAAAGATTTTCGTTAGTTTTAAGGAAGAATCAACTTAGAATTAAAATGCAATAGTCCTTTAAGTTTTAAAAAAATGGTATTATAGTCCTAATAAAATATAATGAATCAAAAAATATTCTATAAAAATAAATTAGTTAAAATTTGTGATGAAATTGAGCAACTAGCTCAATTCAAAGAGAAAAACCTAGCGAACTTAAAAAGAGAAGCTTTAAAAGTTAATATTGAAAATACAATAAGAGTTAGAACTCTTAATTACAACATAAGAACAAAACTAGAAAGAATAAATACATTAAGAAATATTATGTTGTAATATTTTGACATGAGTAATGAACAAATAAATCAAATTAACATATATTTACTCAATATGGTAGGAGAAAGTATAATAGATATAGAAGATACAATTATCATAGATAATATTCTAAATATAGAAACAATTAATGAAAATACCCTAAGAAGAATTAAAGAAATGGGAAAATCCCTTTCTCAAGAATTTGATTCTATTAAAGAAAGAATAAATAATGTTAAAAACTTTAGAAATTTGAAAGAAATAAAAGGAGAAATAAGGTCTATTAAAGACTCAAAAACTTTGATATCTCGAGTAAGAGAGATAAAAATCAAAATAGAAGAAATTTTCAAAATATTAAAAATAATCGTTGAAAATTTTGCAATAAAAGTTTAAAAATATATAACAGAATAATTCTACAACTAAAAAGTGATATAGATAAAATTTTTTATAAGATACAAACACAATTCAAGGATCTACAAAATATTATAATATCAGTCTGTAGTAAGCGAAATATTGTGGATAGAAATAAAGGATTTAAAATAATCCCAAATATTTTCACGGAAAAACCTAAATCAAAAGGTATAACACTTTTCATGTTAAAAACCTAAAAAGAAAAGTTGAAAGAACTTGAATAAAAATTCTTAGAAGAAGAAAATGTAAAAGAGAATTTGTGCAGACAAATTACTATAACTACTAAACAATTAGAAAATATGAAAATGAATATCCAAAAGGAAGAAATAGAAGAGGAAAGTGAAGAAGAAAAGGATGAGACACATCCTAATATAACCCCAACAGAATCTCTAGTGCCACCTAGAGTAGAATCCAACATAAGCCAAAGCCATAGGAAAAAATAGAAATCTAACACATGAAGTGATATATGATAAAAAGAGTAAAAGAGTTGGGAATCAATCTAGACTTGAAATGCCAATAAGAATCAAAGAACCGATAATTAGTACTAATGGTATTTAGCTAGATTTAGATTGTGTTACGGACCCAGAGAAGGTCATTAGTAAGTAGGCCTAAGCTACTTGGATAGCCGTAGCAAACAAAAATTGGAATGCCTTACAAACAGTTAGATTTATTGAAGTTACCTTTAAAGGGATAGTTCACGATTAGTTTGCTGGTCTAAATGAAGAAGACAATAATGTTATTATAAGTGGAAATCCTACTTCGGAAGAAGTTAATGAAAACGAAGCAATTCAAGACATAATAAATAGGTTCGAATCAGCCATTAGGAGAGAATTCTTAGGAGAAAATTGGGAAGAAAATCAAGGAAAAGAGGGGGCCAGAATTGGAAGTATAACAGTGTGGAATTTGTAAAATTTAGAATTATATAATCTCTATGAATTAGATCAATACATTTGTCTATTTTAGAAATATTATTATAAATCTTTAAATCATGGAATGACTAAAGGCCTAATGGAATTGTTTTTTGGAAAAATTCCTAATCCTTGGGGAATAAAATTGGAAGAAGCCTATAGAATATATGTAGAACATAAGAAAGATACTTTAGGGTTAAGGATTTGGTTTGCTAAAACCAAATTTAATGAATGGTGCCTAGAAACCTATAGCCAGAACAAACTAAGAAAAAGTATGAAAAAGGGACTATGTTGTCCTAAGAATAGTGATCCAATCAAGTTAGGATGTAGTTACACCAACTACAACAAGAGAAATAAGAAATTTAGAATTAAAAGAAGTAATGAACAAAGGTTTAAGAAGAACAAATTTTCTAGAAAGAAAAAGAGGTATTTTAAGAAAACCAAAACATCAAAAAAGTATAAAAAGAATCTTAAAAAATGCACATGCTGGTTGTGTAAAGAAGATGGGCATTATGCAAATGAATGTCCTAAAAGATACAAAAGAGAAAGTACTAAAAACCTAAAAATTTATGAAGAAGAACTAGGTAAAATAGATCTAACTCTATAAGTAGCAAATAAAGTATATATGAAGTGAAAAGTTTATATATCTCTAGTAGTGATGAATCAGAAAATTGAAGAAGGAGAAGCTTATTCTAAAAAATATGAAGGACATGGAGAATACAGTCAAATAACTGTATTTGATAAAAATAAATATAAAAAAATTAGACAAAAGAGAATAGACCTTGCTTTAGAAAAAGGATTCAAACCAAATTCCTTTATAAGTAATCCTTTTAAGAGAAAAGATATAGTTTATTATGAAATATCTACTAAAAAATATATCATTCCTATCAAGAATATAACGGGAATAATAAATATACCTTTGATTATCAAGGCGGAAATAGAAAGCAAACTATCAAAAATCAAAGAAGCTGATAGATCAAGGATAGGTTTTATCCACATTGGAGGAATACAAATACTTATTAAAGCTCATTTTAGAGAAGGAATGGACACCCCAATAAAATTAGCTTTAATAGATAATAAAATCAATGATAGAAATGATGCTATCCTTGGATTAGTGCAAGGTAACCTTAGTTACAAGAAACATATGTTTACAGTATATCCAAAATACGTTATAAACATTAATGATAGAAATATTAATAAAACTTTAAGTTTAGCACATGAATTTGCTAAAGAAAACTTTATGAAAGATGGATCAATGCCATATAGTATATGTTATATGATAAGTTATGCATTGACTAATAGTCATCAATCTAATCTTTTAAATATAAAGAATATATTGAATTAGATCCTGTGTTCTCTGAAATAGGACAAATTCAAAAACCAGAAATGATCATTGAAATAGAATTACTCAAAGAATGGGAAATAGACATTAGTGAAAAACCACTAAATTTATAATGCTTATACTAGAGCAATAGAGCCATTAAATTTTCACAACCAATGCGGTGAAAATAATACAAAAAATCGATCAAAAGAGATTAAAAAACTAGTGTTAGCATTGTGGAATAATGAAAAAACACAAAAAAAAAAAAAAAAAAACTTTAGAATATATCTAAGGAGAGTTAAGAAGTAACTATGGAGAAGATCCTACAAAACTATGAGGAAGATCCTACAAATCTATGGGGAGTTGATAAAACTTATGCCACAATCGAATTGATAGACCCAAAAACTATCATTAGAGTCAAACCAATGAGGTATAGCCCTGAAGATAAAGAAGAATTTGATAAGCAAATTCAAGAGTTAATGGCCCAAAAAATTATACATGCCTCTAAGAGTCCGCATAGTAGTCATGCCTTTATTGTAAGAAATCATAATGAATTAAAAAGAGGAAAAGCTAGAATGGTTGTCAACTATAAACAACTTAATAGCAAAACTAAATTCAATGGTTACTTTTTAGCACATAAAGAAACTCTAATCAATAGCATTAGGGGAAAGAAAATGTATTTAAAGTTTGATTGTAAATCAAGATTTTGGCAAATTAAGCTAACTCCTAATAGTATTCCACTAACAGCCTTTAGTGCCCCTATGGGACACTATGAGTGGGCAATAATGCCTTTTGGATTAAAAAATGCGCTTCAAATATTTCAAAGAAGGATGGATAATGTATTTTCTTCCCTTAAGAAATTTTGCATAGTTTATATAGATGACATACTAATCTTCTCTGCTAATGAAAAAGAACATTTATGTCATCTTAAAAAATTTGCATATTTATGCAAGAAATATGGAATATTACTTTGTGAAAAGAAAGCAGAAATAGGAAAAACCAAAATTGAATTCCTTGGATTAGCAATAGATTCCATGAGAATAGAATTACAACCTCACATTAGTGAAAAGATTTCGATGTTCCCAGATAAATTAGAATCTAAAGAACAAATTCGAAGGTTTCTAGGACTACTCAATAATGCAGAGCAGTTTATTCAAAACCTAACTCAATTAAGACATCCTTTGCAAAGCAAAAGTTGCTCAGGAAAAAAGGAAAATCAACAATGGAAAATTTATCACACTAATCATATGAAAAGAATAAAAGAATATTGCAAAAAACCTTCCTAAGCTACAGTTGCCTAAAAAAGATGAAGAGTTAATTTTATAATGTGATGCCTTACTGGGGAGCAATTTTAAAAAAATCTCAATAAAAAATTTATAGATTTGCTAGTGGTACATTTAAAGATGTAGAAACTAGATATCATTCAAATCATAAAGAGTTATTGACTATTAAAAATGGAATAAAAAAGTTCAATTTCTTCTTATTACCAAAATAATTAAGGTCAAAACTGACAATACTCAAGTTAATGGATTTATTTTTAATAAATTACCTTTAACACTAGAATATTAAAGATTAAATAGATGGCAAACTTTCTTTGTTGAATATGATTTTGAAATTGAAGATGTCAAAGGAACTAATAATTGTTTTGTAGGTTTCTTGAGCAGAGAAGAAGCTAATGGATGCAATCACGAAACTCCAAAATAAAGGGAAAGACCTTATTCTCAAAGGTCAAGAGATACTCATTGAGGGCAATAGCTAAATAAGAGAAAGCCAAGAAAAAAATGATTGAAGGCTAAGAAATAATTGATGAAGGCCATAATCTTATGGATGAAGGTCAAGAAAAAACTATTAAAGACCATGAGTTATTAAATAAAGGGCAAGATGCCTTTGAAGATATCAAAGAGCTGATAGAAAAATTAATGAGTCCTAGAGTAATTACTACTATCATAATTAGCTCTAAAGAATCTAGCCATATGGCAACGAAAAGCTCTCAACAAGAGCTAAAAGAAAATTTTGAACAAGGTGATCCTTCAGTAGGATTACTTAGAGAAAGTTCAAGGAAGTTTGACTATTATGCCAAATACTCTCCCTTAGAAATATCGGTGTCTCAAGTTGAAAAGCAAACTATTCAAAATGTCGAAAGCCATAACTTTCGACCTGATTACTTAGGAAAGAAAGAAAAGAAAGCTGCAATAATAGACACATTGTCAAAAATGACAATGAGTGGAGAATATCTACAAGAATACCGCAGAGTTTGTAAAATGGCATATTCAATGACGTCCATTGAGAATTGCCATCTTATCCATGAAGGGATTTATCCCAGAATTAATTTCATGCAGGGTGCAAACCTAAAAGCAATAAAAGAGTTATTCAATTATGGTTTTGTAAACTGTATTTATCTCTTAAAGGATAATGAAGAACTTTCAGAACTTCCAAAAGTTATACGCCAATGAGTGTAAGACTTCAAAATTGGCACCAAAGCTCAAGGGGTAGTATTTATTAAAATCTACTCTGCAACACTAGAATGGGAGAAATCTCAATATTTCCCCAGTCATCATATGGTTCAAATTGGAATCCAATCCAAAAAAAATCAAGGTAGAAGCGAATGAAAATCAAATTTTTCAAGACTTTGAAGAGTTTCTTTGTGGGATCGAGTTCATCTAAGAGAGACGAGCTCTAGGATTCAAGGTTTTACTCCAGACCTTTGACAGAATGATAGAGATGAGGAAGACATGGACATATGGCTTCTCTAAAGAAATCTCGATGGTATCCACTGGTGCAAGATTAATGACTAGCATCAGCCTATTTAAAATAAAGCAGAAAAGAAAAGAAGTCTTTGAAAATCTGGTCCCAACCAGTAAAGCAGTCCATAATAGACTATGCAAGCTGTTAAAGCATGATAGCCATTGTAGTTTCTGCTACAAAAAAGAATCTGCAAAAGGAAAACCTGAAGCCCCATGTGACGACGGGACCACCCCCTCAGACAGTGAAGAAGATCTCATCATTCTCTGAAGAATCCAATGCAAAAAGATGTAAGCACTTATGTCACTAAAGAAAAAGAAGAGTGTCTGCAAGATTCCATGTAATCTGCTTTAGCAAAAGCAAGAAGTAAGTCTAGATCACCAAACAATAATGGAAACTTTAATCGTCAGCAATGACGAAAGAAAAGATTATAATGAGAGCTATAAAAAGCCTCCTATAAACTATAACAGGTATTGAGCATTTAAATATTCAAATACCTTACCTGAAAGCCTTGTACTATACATATATAAACACCCTTCAAGAGAAAAGGGAACTTTCTCTTTCTTTTCTTAGAAATAAAATCATGTTTTAGAATAATACTTGTGTTTCTATCCTTCTTTATTTCTGTCATAAAATAAAATGAGAAGAATCCTAAAGAAACTAAGGTAGCAGTGAAGTAACTTGTCCTATCTGGATATCCATTATAACCTGAGTTTGGCATTAAGGGTTGGATAAAAGAAGCATTTGCCTGACTGAAGGCTAGTCCAAAGGATTTTCAGGCAAAATTCTAACTCATTTATTTTATCATACGGAAGCAATGTGTGCATAAAAACAACTTTATTATTCTTTAACATTAGATTATTTTTTACATAAGAAATGATGGGGAAATAGTACCTGACCTCTTATATTTTGAATAAAAAAATCCTTTTTATATTAAACCATTATAATTTAAGATGCTTGATTTTATTCAAGAAATTATTATAAATAAGATAGTTTATGAGCAGAAATGCAAATATTATAGAAAAAATATAGTAAAAATTTTAGAAAAAATACGTAATATTCAACACGATTATCATTTATCTAAGAATCTCAAAAAGTTGAAGCAAACAGTTGTAGATTTAAATGAAAATCTAAAAAGATTAAAAAAGGCCAAGTAAAGATTATCTTTGTTAGTAGTCTAGTAGATCTAATTCTACGCTTACTGAACTTAACATACTAGCTATTCATTAGTCAGTAATAGTCTGAGTTAAATTCTAAAAACCCGTAGAAAAATCTGGTGTCAAAGCCAAGAAACAATAATTTTAAGTATAAAAGCTGTTTTTACAGCAAATATAAATTTGAAGACTAAAAGATCAAAACAAATATAGTTAGAAGACTAACTATTCTCTAATAGAATAGGAAGTTTTTCGTCCAAGATAAAGACTAGACGAAATTGAAATGAATCTGAAAGATAGTAGACAGGATTGAAAGAATCCAAAGATAATA